ACGGCAAGGTGGGGTTGACTTTAACACAAAACACGAATGGAAACGGGTGAATATTACTCGTATACTTATAACATTGGATCAACTCGATTACTCATAATAATGAAAACTATCGAAAAAAAGTCTACTGGGATGAGCAAATACGACACATAAGAAATAAGAAAAAAACAACGGAAGAAATGACTTAATGTTTTTCGGAGACCGGATAGCTCTTCGGAGACCGAAAAAAGACGGTCTAGAATTCCAAGGTTAACCCTACCAAGATAAGTAGGTCTACCTTCTACCCGTATGGAGAATCCTAAGCGCCAGATAGAATAACACTTGTAAGACCAGCGTCCAAGCCACTAGCACGCCCATGTTCACGCCAATATCCGTATCTTCCAAATCGAACTGACGCAGAATAATATCCCCAGCCGGCGGTTCATCGTGGAACTCAGCGTACATGAACGCCCCAAACGCATAAGTGTGAAAGGCGATGTAGTGAACCCAGATCCACCCCGCGGGGATCTTATCTCGAGGTACCATAAACCCACAGACCAGCATGAACATACCATACAGACCGGCCCCAAGGGCGATGCCGATTATATAGTGGGGAGTAGCTGCGCCCAGGAGCATCATCAGCGACTCAGACACGACCATAGAGAGGAAGAGATTGAGAAAGAACCATCCGAACGCGTTGAGACCAGCGATACCAACGACCATCGCAGAAGACACGAGGGCGATCAGTGCTATACCCGGCAAAGCTGCCAGGAAGTTGGCCAGCACGAACATGAGCACATTGAGATTAGAATTAGCTCTCTCTCGTGCAAAGACAGCTCTGATCTCATCGAAGAATGGTAAGACAGCGACTGCCATGAATACCAAGAATGCTTGAACGTAGAAGAGCATCGGGATGTAGTCAAACTGAGTCAGAGAATCGTTCGAACGGATATACATAGTGCCAATCATGAAAGAAAGCATCACATACATGACGAAACGAACCCAGTAAATACCGGGATTCCGCAGGTTGTTCTGAAAGTTCCTTTTCAGCAGGGTCCAGAACTGAACCACCTTACTCGGACGAACGTACTGCCATATCTCTTTCTCGCTCAGTGGGGAGCCGACTCCTTCATCGGCGCCAAACCCTGGGGTAGTAACAGTCTCGGCGAGCAGGAACTGCTGCATCTGGCAGGTCGGCGCCCTAGTCTCTTTCCTATAGCGTTCAATGAGGCCCTGAA